CCCAAACCGAATTGGTTTAGGGCAAAGGGGGTCGGCCCCCCTCTTTCCTTCTCCTCCTCTCCCTTTCCTTCCCCCTCTCCTACTCCTACTAGGAAAGGAGGAGTCCTACTCCCGATGGGAGTAGGACTCCCCCCTTGGCGCGCCCTCCTTGGTCGGTCGCCACTCCCCCCTTGCTCCTTTATATACGGGGGCAAGGGGGCACCTCTAAACACACAAGTTGGTCATTGATCTCTCCCAGCCGTGTGCGGTGCCCCCCTCCACCATAATCCACCTCGGTCATATTGTAGCGGTGCTTAGGCGAAGCCCTGCGATGGTAGTTTCATCAACATCGTCACCACGCCATCGTGCTGACGAAACTCTCCCTCGAGCTCTACTGGGTCGTGAGTTCGCGGGAGGATCCTCCAAAGATGTGGGAAAGAGTTGGGGTGCAAAGGGAACATGTATGTGTTGATTTCACCCTAACCTTTCCGATACGGGCCCCCTCTTGATAGTACGGTGTTTCCTACGACTCAAGTCCACCAAAACTGAAACGAAGAAAACACACCGTCTTCTCCTTAAACACCGAGGGGAAAAGAATCGTCTCGTGCCAATGAATAAATATTTGAAAGCTCAAAGCACACGATTAGTCCGCAAAACCATTATCAACAATCACCAAAACCACTTAGAGAGAGACATGCCCTAACAGTAGTGTCTCATTTTTGTTAGAACAAGGTTAACAATACATCCAATAACCAGCTACAAGGAGTTGCCACATCACCTATAGTCAGTCTAATAGTCGACATGTATAGTAGCAAATTATAAATATGTACTACTTTACTAACAACTGATTTACCTTAGAACCTCACAAGGTGTTATGATTCCTAAAAAATGTGTTAGGACTATTATTAACATGTTTTTAGAGAACCTATCAACGTGGTTTCTTGGAGTCAGTTTTAAAATAGATAGGGATAGGGATAGATATGATAATGAAGTAATAAATTGAGTCAATCCTTTATTAATGATGATAGTTAATTTTAGTATAAAGAGATATGACAATGATGTAATAAATTGAGTCAACCCTTTATTAATGATGATAGTTAATTTTAATATAAAGAGATACGACAATTATGTTGCTACATTACTGCACTAGTCTCTCTCATCCATGGTGTCCATTTCGCGACCGCTATGTGCATGTGTGCGCTTATAAGGACGAATGTACATGTGTGTATGTGACTATATGCGTTTGTACTATTTCTTTAAAAAGTATATTATTTGTGGACGCGGCGTCTTGCAACTGGGGCTCGGATGAGCCCGGGGATGAACAGTAAAATCAAATAAAATAGAGAAAAAACAAAAAATCCGAAATAAAATTATGGTGCATGATGCTCCTGTGTGTGAACACTGTGCAAAAATCTTGTGAAGTTTTGACATTCGAGGAGCTGATGGAAAAAAGAAAAATTCCAAATGTCTGAGAAACTTTTCAAAATCGCACTGTTCACGCCTGATTTTGTATTTTTTGCCATGAGCTCCTCGCATGTCCAAACTTAAAAAAATGCACAGAGTTCACGCAGAGGAGCATCTTGCATCACAAAAAACTTGGATTTTTTGAATGTTTTTCTATTTTATTTCAGTTTAATGTTTACCAGTTGCATCTGAGCTCGGTTCCGGATTGAATATCAATTATTTGTTCTATTCTCACGCTTGTTCTCTTGGAGCTCTAGAAACATAGGAATGACATAGTCTCTAATCGTGCTTCGCCATTAGAGGTGATGGTTATTAGCAAGGTGGTTCAAGATAGTAGAACGTGGCATCACGCATGAATTTTTCGGAGACTACGAGCCCTTCACCAGGGTGTCAAATGAGTGGAGCATTCCAGTATAATTAATTTCCTTTAGGGAGGTTGGTTCAAGTATTGAGTGCATTGAGTTGATGTACTAAACATGTCAATGAGGCTAGCTTTCTAAGAATTTCCCATTCTAATATATGATGCGGCATGTTTCTGTGTATTCTAGAAAAGCAATGACACCGACGTAATTTAAAGAGTCAATCCGTTATTGATGATGATAGTGACTTATACCATCAGATTAGTTGTTTTGATGTAATATTGTCATCTCACTTTATTTTCAATTAAAACCTACTGGAAACCACATTAAGCCATGCCATCATTTAAACTAGAACCTTACAATAAACACAACCGTGTCACCATGAACATCCATGAAAATACTAACTGTCAAAAGGCAAATTAGTCGACTCGAATCTCCACAGCTGCAAAGGACTAATAGCGACTTCAAAAAATAAAGTTTGTGATGGTTGTCATGCACATCTCCGTATAAGGCGATGGTTGTCGGCTTGGCGCACCAAGAGGCGCCTTTGCTCCCTTCTTGCTTTTGGTGCCTCATCCTCCTCGTGCTAGCTGCGGAAATAGGCCAAGACAACAGAGCAACAAAGCTCTTGAGCCCCGAGAATCTCCTCCTATTCTACTAGGAGGTAGACATGTTTCATTGCCCATGATAAATATGCTCCACGGGTTATTGCCCATATGCATCCGAGTTGCCATGTTTGCCGACAATGTATGACCACTTTGGAGTTCACCTCCGGCGACAAATGGCACCATTAGGGATATAGCCAACCCAAGGGGTCAGTGTGGACCAACACTGCAAATACTAATATAAATTTAAAAAAATATGTGTCATATATAGGCTTCGAGAAATTTCTAGGATGATCCATGGACCACCTTGTTCATCCCCTAGCTACACCCATGTGCACTATAACTTTCTGCATTATGCTCCATCTCAATGCATGTATCTTTGACCTAAAAGGGTATGCTCCATCTCGATGCATGTATCTTTGCCCTAAAAGCATGTTTACTTAGTCTGATACATTTGACCATTCTTAAAAAGCATTTCTTGGTCTCCATTAGCTAGTGGAATCCTCTGCACCAATAACATGTCGCAAACTTCGTAGGTACAGCTACACATGAATGGGGTGCATTCATACACTAGATTATTTTCTGCCATTTTGTATTTAACCTAATTGGCGTAGAAATTTCCCATGTGATCGCTTCTTCTGTCTCTCATGTTTTTCATCGCCTATTCCAAGGCTAGGCTCTATCTCTCTCGTTTTTCACTGCCTATTCCAAGGCTAGGCTAAATTTCAAATAATGTTTGAACAAGTTTAGTTTGTGCTATTGTCTAGAAAAAAATCAAATTACTTTTCTTAGGAAGGGGTTTAAATATTTTCCCATGAATCTTCCATTAGTTCAGACATTTCTTCAAAGAATACATAATTTTATTCAAGCTTTCCTATTATTGAATACAATTTTAATTATTTTAATAAACACAAAATTTCTCATATATTTCAATTTTTTAGTTTTGTTTCATGAAATTTACGAAACTTCTTTTAAAAATCGGTTATTTAATCAGATGCCGATCAACTTCATAAAAATTCACGCAATTCTAAATATTTCTTTTGACTGTAATAATATTTCACGAGAATGTGCATGACATCGGAGAATGGTAAACCTTATTGAAGGTTCAAGTGGTATTTTTTCCGATAAAGGGTTCAAGTGGTATTGGTTTGTTGGAAACTTGGAATCACCCATAACTATCTATGAAGATAATGTTGCTTGTATTGCTGAAATGCAAACAAGTTACATAAAGAACAATATTTAAGAACACAATGTTCCTAAATTATTTACCACGGTGAGTTACGGAAAGAAAAAACATGGAAAGATTTTGCAAACCAAGTCCCCCCATAATCTCGCCGCTTTATAACACTTTCATGATCCCACACCATATTCTTAATATTGCACCATTTTTCCCTTATAGGTTTTACCCAAATGGTTTCAAATAAAAACACCCACACATGTCACTTCAGTTCCTCCTTGGTTTTCCCGATGTGTTTCTAACGGCATTGGCATGTACGTTGATGGGGCCGGACGAGGTTGACGCCATTTCATTTTCTCCTTAAGTGGCCCATTCATTCCGCCGGCAACAGGCTACAGTAGCTCGGGCTGCACTTATTTGCACGGATGCTGCGCTACAGTAGGTTTTCCAAGAAGAGCATGCGCGCACGAACTTTGCATGCGCGCCCTGCCCTGCCCTGCCCAAGGCGAGCGCGCACGAGTTAGGCAAAAGACCTCGGGGGCCAGACTCTTTCCGTGTTCTTCCCACGGCACGGCGGTATAAATTGCCGGCGCGCCATATTTGTCTGCCCGGCCGGCGGCAAAAAAGATCATTTCGGTCGATAGCTAGCCCCCTGCTCGAGCCCCATGCATGCAACTTCTTCGCAGCCTCCCTCCACCCCGGCCCCTGCCGATCAGCTCCACCATCACAGAGCCTTGTAGGTGACTTACTCGCCTGGTGATTAGCAGGCAGGAAGTAGCTGGTTTCTAACCCGGCGCACCGGCCACCTACTCGCCATCTCCTCCGGCTCTACACCGCGGCAGCGGCATCGATCGATTTACCCTCTGCGCGTACCTAGCCCGTACCTGACCCTCCTTGGCGCCATGGGGAGCTCGTGCGTGAACCTCTCCCGCGCCGTCGCGGCCGCGAGGCGCCCGGGCTTCGCCACCGCCGGTGGCGCCGGCGGCCACGGGAGGAGCGTGGTTGCATTGTCGTCGTCGTCGTCGTCGAGGAGGCGCACCGCGGCTGACGGTGGCGTGTCGTGCGGCATCGCCAACGGGTACCTGGGCGGCTCCTCGGGCGGGTCGCGGCCGCCTTCCTTGCCGGTGCACGGCAAGAGCTCCGGGCCCGGTTCGGCGCGGGAGGCGGGTGGTGATCACGATCGCGCTGACGGGCTCGGGATCCAGGAGTTCCTTGGCGGCAAGAACTTCCTCATCACCGGCGGGACCGGCTTCCTAGCAAAAGGTACGTTTATGTCGCCATCTTCATAGTTTTCTCTGCCTCCACCTGATTTTTCGTGCTCGATTTCGTTTCGAATTTATTTATCTGCCGTGTCAGTTCTGATCGAGAAAATCTTGAGGACGAACCCTGACGTGGGCAAGATGTACGTGCTGATCAAGGCCAAGGACAGCGAGACGGCACTGCAGAGACTGCAAAATGAGGTACGATGACTAGAATACCCTAACCCTACCAGTTCTTGTTCTTCATCCAAACGATGATATTCTTTTCCATTTTTCATTCATGCAGGTGGTAGACACGGAGCTGTTCAAGCGCCTGCAGGAGATCCACGGGGACGACTACCACGGATTCATAACCAGGAAGCTTGTCCCCGTAGTTGGCGACGTCCGGGAGGCCAACATCGGCATTGCCCCCGAGCTGGCCGATGAGATCGCGGAGCGGGTGGACATCATCGTCAACTCCGCCGCCAACACCACCTTCGACGAGAGGTTCGTCCTTCTATAATACGTCTACTTGTCTTCTAGCTAGCTGTTTGCACTGCTCCAAGATTCAGTGACTCCATCGTGACCAAAAGAAATTTACATCTGAATATTCAACCAGGTATGATGTTGCCATGGACATCAACACCGTGGGGCCGTTCCGGATAATGAGCTTCGCGCATCGGTTTCGAAGGCTGAAGCTCTTCCTGCAAGTGTCGACAGGTCAGGCTCATGCCATCTGCCAAATGAATCCTCTCCGCGTGAAAGCGATGTTTACTTAGAATTTTCCCTTTGGAGGGGTTTCCAACGGTTGTGTTGCATGACATATCCATGCATGATCGCAGCGTATGTGAACGGGCAAAGGCAGGGTGTCGTGCTGGAGAAGCCATTTCAGTTGGGTGACACCATAGGGAAAGAGTCAGCTGGATCCTCGGATTCTTCGGAGCAGCACAAGAACGCCGTGCTGGACATCGAGGCGGAGATCAAGCTGGCCTTCGACTCGAGAAGGCGACCCGACGATGACTCGGCTTCTTTCTCTCAGGAGATGAAGGATCTAGGGCTAGAGAGGTAAGCAACACATACATTTCTTGCCATTATTACCTCCTTGGTCTCCGTCTGAAGATGCAATATTCATTTGATTTGCTTTACGTGCTGGTTGTAGAGCGAAGCTCCATGGGTGGCAAGACACCTATGTGTTCACCAAGGCCATGGGGGAGATGGTGATCAACAGCATGCGAGGGGAGATCCCCGTGGTCACCATCAGGCCCAGCGTCATCGAGAGCACCTGGAGAGACCCCTTCCCGGGCTGGATGGAAGGGAACAGGTACGTACTTGAGTGTAGAATGTGGTACAATCTTGCAGAGTTCATCAACATTCTGTTCTGATTTCCATTGGCGAATTGATTTGCTCGACCAGGATGATGGACCCTGTCGTCCTCTACTACGGCAAAGGCCAGCTGAGCGGGTTCCTCGCCGATCCGGCCGGAGTCCTAGACGTGGTAATCAGTTACACATTCTCTTGGCAAACGTAGTAGTGAAACCATGGAGCTGATCTTGCAGACGCTAATGGCTTTTCTGTTGTGTCGTTTGGCAAGGTTCCGGCGGACATGGTGGTGAACGCGACGCTGGCGACGATGGCGAAGCACGGGCGGGCGGCGGAGGGGGGAATGCACGTGTACCACGTGGCCTCGTCGACGGTGAACCCGCTGGTGTTCGGCGACCTGAGCCGGTTCCTGTTCCAGCACTTCACGCGGAGCCCCTACAGCGATGCGGCGGGGCAGCCCATCGCCGTGCCGCCCATGCGCCTCTTCGACACCATGGAGCAGTTCGCCAGCTACGTCGAGACGGACGCGCTGCTGCGGAGCGCCAGGGCCGGCGTCCCCGCCGGCGAGCGCCTCTCCCAGCGCCTCCAGGAGCTCTGCGCCAAGTCCGTCGAGCAGACCATCCACCTCGGCAGCATCTACCAGCCCTACACCTTCTACACCGGCAGGTCATCTCTCTCTCTCTCCCCCACCCATGGCCAAGCAGACCCATGTAGCATCATTTATATGCTCTGTTTGCTCAAGCTGCTACGACGATCTATGCAGGTTCGACAATGGCAACACGGAGGAGCTCATGGCAGAGATATCGACAGAGGAGAAGGCGGTGTTCCACTTCGACGTGAGGAGCATCGACTGGACGGATTACATCACCAACGTCCACATCCCAGGGCTCAGGAAGCACGTCATGAAAGGGAGGGGCATCGCTGCGGAATCGCCACCCTCCACGGTGCTCGCCGCCACCTCCACCTCCACGGAGTGAACCCACTGCCTTCACACCGAACATGGAAATGCGCCGCAGCGTGTACACTAGAGTTAGATTGTATCATGTGCCTAAGTACGTGATCCACTGAAGAAACACATTTGGCTATGTGTTAGCAGCAACTTAACTAAGGTTGATGTCATTCTGTCGATTGATTCTGCATTATAGACCTGTTTGTCCTAAACAACAGAAAATACTTGTTCTCCTCTCTGCATGTAATTTCTTATCGTGTATTTGTGGGAAAACAAAGCTTTGGAAATACTGAAATATGATTTAATTAACTGTATCTTACAGTCGATAATACAGATTACAAGCCTAGTGATACAAGCTTAAGCTACATATAGGAGTTCAGTCTTTGCCAATGTAAAATGCCATGCCTCTATGAAATTGCCAAAATATAGAGGGAGAGGGTGCATGGATGGCCCTTTCTTCACCTGGGACTCAGAGCAGGTGGCTGCATGAAGCTTCTTTTGTTTCAGGATGGCAGCAGTCTTTTGGATTGACCAATGGGGGTCAATTTTACACAGGGCTCTGGTACACCCCATTGTTATTGTTTGTTGGCTCATGTGCAGATTTGGATCCAGCAGAATCTCACTGATCGGTGCAGACTATCGCAATACAAGCTGAGAAATGGTGTAGCCAGTTTACTCAAAGGAAATAATCAGGCGTTCTCCTTGTCACGTCTGGCTCACCTCTCCGAGG